ATACACACACATACATACATACGCACACACACAGTGGTTGGTAAAAGTTTCCGATTACAATAATCTTTGTTAATTTGTTTTTCGATCTATAAGTTTTATATATATATATATATATATATACATATACACAGGGCATTTCACATGAAAGGAGTCCACCTAAAAATAAATTGTTTGGAATCTTTAAAATAATCGTGAAACCATGTAAGTGGACATATTGTATAATGTTGAAGATAAAAAAAATAAGTATTATATGCCTGGTATCCAAGATATTAGAGATAGTCTTTTAAAGGAGTTCTCCTTTTAACTACTCGTTTGTAATTAAAATTACAAACATATAAAAAAATTAATAAAATTTTTATACATATGAATTTTTTAGGATTTTTCTCGTACTTTTAAATAAAAAAGTTAATTTTAATGAGAAAAAATCTATTTTTTAACTACAAGTATAATAAATAAATGAAAAATTATATCTACTTTTAAAAATCTAAAAAAATTCTCAAAAATCTCTAATAAATGTAGAATATGATGCCGCAAAGAAAATTTTGGGATTGCAATGGGATCCACTAGTAAATGAATTTTTTTTTTCAAGCAAAATTTGAATTTCTACCAAAAATGATAAAATCACTTTATTAATTATATTATTAATTAACACTATTAATTATTGATAAAATCACTTTATTAATTAATCTAATTATTTAATACTACATGATACATTTATATAATATATAACTAATTACTCGACACTACCTAATATATTTTTAACATACAGGGTGTCCCAAAAAGGACGGGACATCTGAATATCTCGGAAAGCATAATTTTTACAGAAAAGTATTTCAGACAAAAGTTGTAGAGTTCAAAAAGATCTATTTACTGATCTTATCAGTTTGACTTTAAGTGCCGTCGCTAACGTTAGATCAAAGTCACATCGATTTTTTTAAACGGAATGCCCTACTTTTGATTCTAGAATCTAATAGCTGATGTTAAGAGCTTTCCAAAACATTACAATAAAGTTATTTTTTATTGAATAATTTTCGAGTTAAAAGGCTCGAAAGTTATAGTACAGCCGGCATTAGCATTACGCAAGGTGTCCGACCGACGCGACGGCTAAAACCTCTTGAATGTTGTTCAGGATCATGTTCTGAATAACATTTGTCAAGATCAATGCCATTGGAGGTTGTACCTCTTATTTTCATTTTTATGTAAAAATGAATTTTTGTGCAGACACCGTGCGTGCGTGCGTGTGTGGTGTGTGTTGTGTGTGTGTGTGTGTGTGTGTGTGTGTGTGTGTGTGTACATACAACGAATATATGAAAAATTACCTTTAAAAGCATCAAGAGCGCGTCTAATCAGCTAAGTATTTTCAACAATCACAATGGAATAAAACCAGCTGGTCGCTAGTCGTCGTCATCGTCATCGTCGTCGTCGGAGGGAACGAAAAGATCATTCTCTTCCAGGAAGTTGGCAATGTTCTTACTGATCGTGGCACCAACTAACAGACCGAATATCACACTGCTGACGACACCCAGGAAACTGAACGGCGTTCTCTTCGGTTCAGGCAGGATCGCTCCGGACGGTGTAGTGATCGTCGACCGAAGAAACGGCTTGGATATCGTGTTTGTCTTCCTAAGAACAGTCCTTCCGTGAAACAATAGCATTACTTTGTTCAACAGCATCCTCCTTTCGCGAACTTTATTTCCGGTAACGATTAATCGCACGCTCCTTATCCCGGATTTCCCGGAATTCGCGAGCCGGTACTATTTGGTAGAATTTAGCACATCTCCGTAGAACTAGAAACACTAGAGTCCTATCATGGCGGAAGTAATAAAGTATGCTCGTGCGCAGGCATTTTTTGCTGGCCAATTTCAGAGCTTGAAGACCATGGCACACACATTCCATAACAGTAACCATAAGACGTATCGTAAGAATCAGCCAATTAGAATTAAGAGTTCAAAAGAATGCTCTACCGTGATTGGCTGATTCTTACGGTACGTCTTATGGATACTGTTATACCAAGAAGACTAGAGACCAGGGGTGCGTTCCAAAATTCACTCCGAGTAACTCTAAAGAACCCGGAGTAGTGGGGAAAAGAGTAAGTCAGAGTACGTTACTCGAGTTGACAAATTTGGAACGTGAAAAGGTAAGGTAATATTATATATACATATAATATTATATTTAATGTTTTATTTAGAAAGAGATAAACTCATAAAACTATATATGTATGTATATGCATACATCTAACCTTGATACAAGCTTTCGAATCACATTTTCTACTTACCTCTCGTGTCCATCACCCACAATGAATTATTTTCTTGTAACGGTGTTCCATTATCATTGGTTATTAACATATGCACATCTTTGATTAATTTTAGAGCTATTTTAGGGAAATGAAGTCGTTACTTTAGAGACCGCGGACGTGTGCGTCTCGCTTCGTGTGTTGCATCATCTCAATATTCAAATTTCGTTTGCCGCACTTACTCTTTCAACCCACCTCGGAAGCAGGGTTCATAGAG